TGAGAGAGAGAGAGAGAGAGAGAGAGAGAGAGAGAGAGAGAGAGAGAGAGAGAGAGAGAAAGAGAGAGAGAGAGAGAAATGAAGTGGCCACCATGCACGTAGCCACAGAGGTGCGCTGAAAACCTGCACCCTACTGATAGGGGCATATGGAAAATTTTGGCGCTGGTACTCATTGGCTATCCGGTAGGGGCATAATGAAAATTTTGAATGGGTACCGGTAGGGGCATAACAAAAATATTTGAGGCCCAGCCGACGCCGCGGTTTCATGGGAAATTTGAATCGTGGTCAGAGGGGCACAACAGGGTAAGTGGCATTTCGGAGAGGCACCATTACAGGGGCGGCAGACAAATTTTCCCTTTTTCTTTTGGTGGCGATTCTTTCTCGCTCCGATTTGGGAAACTTCTTAGGGGTGGCTTCTCGCACGCATGGACGAGGAGATATGCTCTACCTCCTGTATTGCTCCGGTCAGTACGAATGCCTATCTGTCCTTCGGGACATCCGTTAGCAGCGTGTCCAGCTCAACTGGCGGACTATTCTTTCGTCTTTGACTAACGAATACCGTGGGAAAAAATAAAATTGGAACGATACAGGAAAGAAGATTAGCATGGCCCCTCTGCGCAAGGATGACACGCATAACACAAAAGAATCGAATGCCTATCTGCTTAGCGGCTGAATCGTGGGCCTCCGACGTCAGAGGTCATCAGAGGGCATATGCTCACATTTTCGACTCAGCCCTGGACGTCGTTGCTGTCCGATGCATCCACGTCGGACAGGGATTGTGGTCACATTCGGATACGTTTGGGAAAGTGCTCATATCTTCTCGTCCCCCGAACACAACGCACCCTCCCTTTGACTGTCCGGGACCCAGCGAGGTAGCTTGTATACAATGTATAGAACCATTAATGCGTGCGTTGTGTTTGGAAGACGACGGTAGTGTGAGCAAGAGCGGCGCTCACCGACCTGAAAGGCGACGAGCGGCGCTCACCGAGGCGTACCAGGTATATAGGGTGCGTGGGTGGACGTCGAAGCTGGCGCTGCTATGTCTGTGCCTGCCTGATTGGACTGATTGGATCGTTGCTGCAGTAATGTTGAAGGTTGAAGTCGACTGTCAGGCAGGCCTCGTAATTGACGGCAGGCCTATGAAGAGGGGTTGCAATGAAGTGGAGGGGGGGTAAGTAACCCATCTGCATGTCCTGTGCAGGTCTGCGGACCTACGCGTGACAGGTATAGGTAGAGGGTGGGTGGGTGGATCGCGAAGTTGGCCCTGCCGATGAGTTTTTTGCAGGGGCACTGCGCCCCTCTGCCTGCATGATTGGATTGTTGCTGCAGTACTGGGGAAGTGAAGTAAAAGGGGCGTAAGTAACCCATCTGCATGTCATATAGGGGTATTCGACTCTACGCGTGACAGGTATAGGTATATAGCCTAAGGGTGCGTGCAGTGCGTGGGTGGATCGCGAAATTGGCCCTGCCGACGTGTTTTTTGCGGGAAAGTCTCCGCTACTACTCTGCCCTGCCTGATTGAATTGTTGCTGCAGTGCTACTGGTCAGTCTGGTGGAGTTTGACTGCCAAGCGTCGTCGTTGACCGCAAGACTATGAGCATGAATGAATGATTGGATGAGTTTGTAATAATAATATTATAATAATATTAAGCAATCTAAAACGGGCATAAACAAATCTCTGTACCGTCTAATAAGATCTCTGAGGGTGTATGAGGCGGATCGCGAAGTTGCGGCTGCAGAAGTTGATTGACGCTGCAGACGTGGTCTTTTTTTTTATTTTTAAAGGAAGGCTCTGCTGCTCTCTGTGTCATGGGATTGCGGCTGCAGAAGTTGATTGGCGCTGCAGACGTGTTTTTTTTTTTTTTTTTTTTTTTTTTTTTTTTTTTTTTTTTTTTTTTTTTTTTTTTTTTTTTTTTTTTTTCTCTCTCTTTTGCAGGAAGACTCTGCTGCTCTCACTGTCATGGGATTGGGATTGGTGCAAGCACCAGGCAGTGGTGCAGGTTGACTGCCAAGGCGTCGTCGTTGTTGACGGCAACGAAAACTTGAGAAGCGTACTGGAGGAGACGACTGGAGACGAGAGAGAGAGAGAGAGACGCAGAGAACCGGAAGTCGTTTTGTTGTTGACGTCCCGGTAAATTAAGGGGAAAAAGAGCAGGATATCTGGATGATGCCAGGACACGGTTGGTAATAGGTGGCGGGGGGCGTGAAGGTGAGGACACTGAGGAGAAGCTGATGGTTTTGTTGGTTCGTGAGATGTAGATGGGAGAGAGTAAGAGAAGCGAAGGAGCGGGGTGAGTGAGTGAGGCGCCGGAGCCAGGAGGCGACGAGAAGGCGTGCGTGCGCGTGTGGCGTGTGGCGTGTGGCGTGTGGCGTGTGGCGTGTGGCGTGTGGTGGGTCGATTGGTCCTTCAGTTGGGAGTGTGTGTGTTGTTGGTGGGTCAATTGGTTTTTCTCTGTTGTTGATTGGTCGCTGACGTGGACGACGGAAACAAGCTCTCATCAATCCGCGCGGCTACACATACCCAGTCGAGTCGCGTGAATGGTAATAAAGCTCGATCGATTGATTGGTTCCGAGATCGGAATCTGATCTGAAAAGAAGACCCGATTCGGGTGGAAAAAATGGGGGATAAGAAGGCGGTGTTGAAGGGGGACCACCATGGTTCGTTCTCGGGGAAAAGGTCAAGTCCGGGGTTGGGTTCGTCGGCGGCGGCGGCGGGTTCAGCGCCGGGTTCAGGGGCAGGTTCAGGGTCGTCGGAGCCCAGCAGCATGCCCGTCCTTCGAAGGCATAATACTCTGGAGAGTCCGCGGCTCGCGTTGGGACACGTGGGCCCACTGACTGTCGTAGATAACACGTTGTTGGACGGCACGAGCTTTATTCCCCGTGTAGCTGACGACGATCTTCTCTTCGCTGACGACGCTTTGTTATTGCAGCTCTTCTTGGACACTCTGTTAAATCATCACGGGCCTGAAATCGCTAGGAAGGTTAGGACGTGCTATAGTCTAGGGGGGATGTATTCCAAGTCCTGTAGCAACGAGGACTTGGTGCGTCTAGAGACCTTCATGGACCAGTTCTGTCCGGGGGATGCGATCTTGACAGCGAGCGCATTTTCGCACATGCTGAACTTAGAGAACATAGCAGAAGAGGTGCAGATGTCTCTGAGGAGGAGATCACAGGTGAAGACAGGCAACATATCGGACGAAGGGAGCGCGCTGACAGAGTCGACGTTCCCAGAGACGCTTCAGAAGCTCTTGGAGTTCGGCAAAACCCCGGAGGAGATCTTCGCTGCTCTCAAGTCCCAGACCGTCGATCTGGTTCTGACTGCGCATCCTACGCAATCGATTCGTCGCACGCTTTTGACAAAGTTTTGCAAGATCAAGAGAAACCTTCTTCGCCTTCATGAAACGCCCAACTTGATGCCTAACGACCTCAAGGAGATGGTGGAAGAGATACAGAGAGAGATTCAATCGGCGTGGAGAACGGATGAGATTCGCCGCATCCCACCCAAGCCTCAGGACGAAATGCGGTCAGGAATGAGTTATTTCCATGAGACGATTTGGGAAGGCGTTCCGCGCTTTTTGCGCCGCGTAGACACTGCTCTGCAAGCGATTGGCATTCAGGAGCGTCTGCCTTACGACAGACCGATTCTGCAGTTCAGCAGTTGGATGGGAGGAGACCGAGATGGGAACCCGCGTGTGACAGCCTCCGTGACCTGGGACGTGTGTCTTGTGGCCCGATTGATGGCTGCCAATCTGTATTACAATCAGATCGAGCCGCTGATGTTTGAGCTGTCCATGTGGCGGTGCAACAGCGAGCTGAAGGCGTTGGCCAATCAAATCGTTGAGGAGTCGATGAAGAAAGAATCGGTCAAACATTACCGAGAGTTCTGGAGTAGCAGTCCTCCATCGGAACCCTACCGTGTGCTTCTTGGTGCGATCAGGGACAAGCTGTTTCACACGCGAGAGAGAATGATGAACCTTCTGGAAATGGGCTATTCGTCGATTCCAGAGGCGGACACGTTCACCTCAGCGGAGCAGCTGATGGAGATGTTGAGAGTCTGTTACGATTCCCTCTGCTCTGTAGGGGATAAGAACATAGCCGATGGGGGGCTGCTGAACTTCATGCGTCAGGTGGCCTGTTTTGGCCTTGTCATCGTGAAGCTGGACATACGGCAGGAGTCGGAGCGCCACACCGACGTGTTGCAAGCCATCACCAGCCACCTGGGGCTTGGGTCGTACAGGGAATGGCCGGAGGAAAAGCGGCAGGAGTTCCTGCTCAAGGAGCTGCAGGGAAAACGACCGTTGTTTGGTCCAGACCTGACAGCCTCGCCTGACGTCAGGGAGATTCTGGACACGTGCCAGATCGTCAGCGAGCTGCCATCCGATTCCTTCGGCGCTTACGTGATCTCCATGTCGACTGCCGCGTCTGATGTCCTTGCAGTCTACTTGATTCAGCGGGAGTGCGGAGTGAAGAAACCTCTTCGGGTCGTGCCGCTTTTCGAGCGGCTCAAGGACCTCGTCAATGCCCCTAAGATCATGGATCGATTGTTCTCGATTGATTGGTATCGGGAAATGATCAACGGTCGGCAGGAAGTAATGATAGGCTACTCGGACTCGGGCAAGGATGCAGGGAGGCTAGCAGCAGCCTGGGCTTTGTTCCAAGCCCAGCAGGAGGTAGTGGCAACTGCCAAGAAGTACAACGTGAAAGTGACACTCTTTCATGGGAGGGGTGGGACTGTGGGTCGCGGTGGTGGTCCCGTTCACCTGGGTATCTTGTCCCAGCCACCAGGGACCATCCAAGGCTCTCTGCGGCTGACGGTTCAGGGAGAGATCATAGAACACGCATTCGGCGAGGAAAGGTTGTGTTTCCGATCGCTCGAGCGCTACACTTCTGCGACTCTCGAGGCCAGCATGTGTCCACCCCGAGCACCCCGCCCCGAGTGGGTTGCTCTCATGCAGGAGATGTCTGACATCTCCAGGGATGAGTTCCGAAGGATCATTGAGGACAAGCAGTTCGTTCCCTACTTCCAAGCAGTGACCCCTGTTCTTCAGTTCGGTAAGATGAACATTGGCAGTCGGCCGTCGAAGCGCACGACGATGAACGATGTGCAATCCCTGCGTGCGATCCCGTGGGTGTTCGCTTGGACCCAGACTAAGCTCCACCTTCCAGTCTGGCTGGGGATTGGCACAGCCCTGCGTCACGTGATGGAACAGAAGCCGGAGAACCTGCAGAAGCTGCAGCAAATGCACAGCGAGTGGCCCTTCTTCCGGGCAACCCTCGATCTCATCGAGATGATCCTTGCCAAGGCGGACCCGCGCATCTTTGCCATGTACGACTCCCTGTTGGCGCCAAAAGAACTTAGCCAATTTGGGCACGAGCTGCGATACAAGTTCCAGGACATGAAGGAGCTGCTGCTCAAGGTGGCGGGTCATAAGAGCTTTCTGGAAAACAACACGGCTCTCAGGCAAAGGCTCATCCTGCGGGAGCCGTTAATGACCCCATTGCATGTCCTACAAGCGCTCACATTGAACAAGATGCGAAGCACAGGTGCTCTTTATTGCGAGAGGAAGGAGGGGACAGAGAAAGACGCCGTCATGAAAGATCTCGTCGAGCGTAATCCTGGCACAGAGTTCGCCCCAGGCCTCGAAGACACACTCATCATCACGATGAAGGGGATAGCAGCGGGCTCGCAAAATACAGGATAGATAGCATGGCATCATCCAGGAGAGATAGATAGCATGGCATCATCCAGGATAGATAGATAGCATGGCATCATCTGGCAATCAGTATGGATGGGTGGGAAAGGAGGGCACAGAAGGCCCGTTGAGGGAGGGAGAGGGGGGTTGAGGGAGGGAGAGAATTAAGTAAGGGAGGAAGGATGTGGTGAGAGTGGAGTGGACACGATAGGAGGGGGAGCGGAAGACCCGCGCCTTTACGACTGGCGGCGACGACTGTATAATTCTCCAATCTCTCTCTTTTTTTTTTTTTTTTTTTGTTGCAAACATCGGCAACGGGGAGTAGAGGGAGTGCTGATAAGAGCAGAGCAGACACTCCCTCTACACTCCCGTAGTACTGGTTTTCCTCCTCTTCCTCCCGCTTCTTGAACACACAGGAGGGGTGCATAAGACCCGTGTGGTGTGCGCTCCCTTACTGGCTACCACTGCACAGTATTCTGCATGTTTTTTTTTCCATTTCCATCTCTCCAGTGGCTTAATTTCCCCACTTCCTCTCTCTTATTGGACATAAAGGAGGGGTGCAGAAGACCCTCCTGCGGGGTCTGACCCCTCCCTTTGTACTACAACATTCTCAATTTTTTTTTTTCTTCTCTGGTCTAACTGGGTAGGATTGTCTATAAGTCGTGACTGTAGGTTCTGCAGCTGCAGCTCCAACTGCAACTGCAGCTCAATAATCAGTGCAAGCTATCAAACAAGTGCTGCATGTCCTCCCCCTCTTCTTGGACACACAGGAGACTGAGGAGAGGGATGCAGGAGGACCCTGTGGTCTGCTCCCTTACTGGCCACTGTATTCTGCTTCTGTTTTTTTTTTTTTGCCCTCCCTGTCCTTGACAAGACTGGCCACTGCATTCTGCTTCTTTTTTTTTTTCTTTTTTTTTTTTTTCCCTCCGTCTCCTTGACAAGAGGGGGAGAAGAAGAGTGGATGGGGGGCCCTTAGTGTCACTGGGCAAGTGGCAAAGATTGACGAACCTAGTCAAGCTTTGAAAGACTTTGGTTGGATGGGGGGCCCCTATAAGGGGTTTGGAAGATTGCATGGGGGGGGGAGGGGGAGGGGCCTAAAAGTCGAGGAGAAGCAGAGAAAGGGTGGCTTTGTGACTTTTTTGGAGCACCAGGCTGCAGAATGAATGTGGGAATAGATGAAGTTGTTGCTGGCCAATCAGGGGAGTCGTTGCTGCTTTTTTGAAGTAATGATATAAATGGCCACTGCTGCAACGTGCGAAAACAAACTTGCCAGTGAAAATAGGCGAGGATGCCATGTGCGTAGTACTGTGAGGACAACTGGCCACAATTGCAGTTGTATTACAATGCGGGTAGACCTTGGTACAAGGAAGGGAGTCGTAAGACTCGCTCATCTGATATAAGTACCTTTGACTAGGCGGACGATAATGCCACCTCAACGTCAATGATACTGTGGCAAGGGAGGGGGAGGGCGAGGGGGATGGCGAGGGGGAGGGGGAGGGGGGTGTCAATGTGCAATTCCATTAAGTTGCAGGGCTGCCTTCCAGTGGGGGAGGAGCGGAAGCCGTAGCCCAGTTGTAAATCCGCCACAGTGCAGGTCGGGGTTTTGTAAACTGACATATATGTCACAGCTGTTGGCAGGGGGTTAAGCGTATGCGTTTGCTTATGTGTGTGTGTGTGTGTGTGTGTGTGTGTGTGTGTGTGTGTGTGTGTGTGTGTGTGTGTGCGTGTGTGTGGTCTGTGTGTTGTCATATTCGCTATACACTCAAAAATAGCATGCCTGTGCCAGACTGTTTCGTGGGACTTTCACCGACTCATCAGGAGGTTGTGTGTGCATGTGTGTGTGTGTGCGCGCGCGTGCATTCTTTCATGCGAGTGTGTGTGAGTTACGCGGTAGGGTATGAAGCGTGCGTGTGAAGCGTGCGTGTGTTTGACCTATTGGCATGGTCAGAAGTGCCGGTGTATATGTGTGTGCAGGCGTTCTTGCAAGTGTGTGTGTGTGTGTGTGTGTGTGTGCAGGCGTTCTTGCAAGTGTGCGTGTGTGTGTGTGTGTGTGCAGGCGTTCTTGCAAAAGTGTGTGTGTGCAGGCGTTCTTGCAAGTGTGTGTGTGCAGGCGTTCTTGCAAGCGTGTGTGTGTGCAGGCGTTCTTGCGAGCGTGTGTGTGTGTGTGTGTGTGTGTGTGTGTGTGTGTCTGCAGACGTTCTTGCAAGTGCGCGCGCGTGTGTGTGTGTGTGTGTGTGTGTGTGTGTGTGTGTGTGTGTGTGTGTGTGTGTGAGAGAGGCAAATTGAAAAAGAGGCAACTGGTGGCTGGTGATGGAAGGGTTGGCCGTGTCGTTGTGGTGATCGAAGCACTCCTCGACTAGACTGTGCAGAGGCGCGTAGAGGTCTGTCGGCGGAGTGTTCAGTGTTCTCTTCGATGCACGTAGAAGAAAAAGAAAAAAAAGCCTTCGATCTGACCTAGCCGTCATTCTCGCACGAAAGTTCATGATCGCATCATTTCGGTCATCGCTCGTTATTTTTCGGGTTCTCGTGCTCTGGCGAGGTTATTGCGTTCAACAACAACAAAAAAAAAAAGGAAAAAAAAAAGGGTTGTGTTCAACGAAAACACAGTTGTCAGGCGATTAGGCCCTAGGGTAGTTGCACCCACTCGCCAGTCGCCAGCTCTTATTTTTGAATGCATCAGGTCGACCTGGCGGTACAGATTCATTGAACATGTTGGCGGACGACCAGTAGCGCGATTGGTCAGTAACACTCTGGTTATAAAGGTTCCGAAAAAGTAAATCGGACCCAAATCGCGTTAAGTCTTCTGTGACTGGACTTAGGGCATACTCACACCAGCACTTGCCAAATGTATCCGACTGCAGTTAGGGTCGGGGGTGGATGTATGTGAGCGCAATTATGTCAAAATGCAACTCTACCAGGAATGGGCATTTTGAAATTTCCCTCTGCATCTCACCAGGTCCATGCTCCCCTCCAAAATGCTGCCTTTTACAAAAAAAGGAAAAAAAATGCTGCCTTTCACAAACAAACGACTAAACAAATTCGCACAACTTACCGGACTAAAAATGCTCCAAAAAAAAAAAAAAAAAAAAAAAGCTCCGCTCCTCTGACCACATCTACGTCAATGTTTTTACCCAACCAGTACCTCAGGGGGTCTTAGGCCCCCTCTGACGCGAATGAATACAGACCCCATGTGCGCACGGATTCATGCACTGCATTAACGGTAGGTACTGCTGCAGCTGAACAAATGAAACCTTACGAACAGGAGCATATACTAGATACCATGTGGCCCACTAAGAGGTAAGCCCCACTGCCTGGCGAAGGCGAACGCTTCCGCCAAACCCAAATAGTAGACCCCGGCGATGGAAAAGAGAAAAGCGGACCCCACTGCAGCACAAATTTTCGCCAGTTCCGTTGGTGCCAGTTACCCGATAGGGAAAACTTTCCCTATATGGAAACTTCACATCCGCTACTCTCGATTCTCACCCAATCCCTGGCTCTCCTTTCCACATGGGATGGCCGAACAGAGGGTGTTGCCCCTCCCCTACCCCCTCAGAATGGCCGAACAGCAAGGGACCCGCAAAGCAGAACTGAGTGAAAACGTCTGCCACGTCATGTCTGAGCATTTTCCAAAGCTTTGCCGCAAAGCCCTGGGGTTTCACAGCTCGTCTTCCAAAGCCTTGCCGCAAAGCACTGGGTTCAGGGCGTACTCACAAGCCGGTGGCATTGCAGCAAAAGCTGCGAATTTTGCTATCCCCATGTTGCTGAAATGCCACCCAGCCCGGTTATATAGCAGCAACAAATCACAAAAGACACAAGCCGGACTTTCTGGCAATTGCCAAAAATGGTGTCTCGCGTGGTCATTACAGCGCAAACCCTAAATCCTTGGAACTTATTTCTTTTCCAACAAAGTTCGATTTAATTTTTTTTGAATTATTATTATTTTTTTTGAAGTCGCAGTTTGTATTATAGAAAATTGGAGAACTGAGGCCGGGAATCCCTCAACATCTCAACCCGGAATTCCTGGGGCCAATACCCAGATTAGGCTTTACTGGAAACCGGGTCCAGTGTCCCATTCAGGGCAACTTCAACCAAAAAAAAAAATCGCAGCTGGACTAACAAAATTCAAAACCAGAAATAGGAGAGGCAACCACTATGCTGACTGGGAGCCTTACCCAGCTTCGCTTAAAGATGTTACAGAAAAGAGGACAGTTCTCGGACTACTTCCAACGAAGAGACCTTGCTTCCATTGGCAGGAGACCATAGCCTAATGTGACTAGCCAAAGAAATGACAAATACCCAATGATCTAAAGCAAACTACAGAGTTCTATCTGGAGCAGGTGATTTGCAGAAATCCGAAGGAAGATCCATCAAAACCAAAAGAGAGGCCTGTCGGACCAGCTAATAGCCGTGTGGAGCCTGGGTTGTCATGACGAGGTTTCCCACCTTGTACCCTTGAGACTCTGTAGGGAGTACTGTATTCCAGGTACTCTAGATCTCAATGGGTACAACCCAGATTTGCTCTTTTATCAGCTAAATGCTAATCGGCCGTGCCCTAAGTAGCTCAGCAACGCTGCCACAACCACTAGTAGGTCTCCCACTACCTCCAGTCATTCCGTTGCCTGCTACGGACAAGCCCAGTATAGATACCGAAGGAGAAGAACACAAGCCCAGTATAGATACCAAAGGAGAAGAACTTAGCAAGGAACTATCAGGTGTGTTACAAACTAGAGGCAACCAAGCTAAGGAACGAACACCAACAATCTAAGTTTACACCGTAATGAAGCCAAGCAACAGAAGGAACACCAACAATCTAAATTCACACCGTAGTGAGGCCAAGCCACAGAAAGAGCACCAACACTCTTAAGTTCACACCGTAGTGAAGCCAAGCAACAGAAAGAGCACCAACACTCTTAAGATCGGAAACGAGAAGAGCAGCCAAGATTAGGTTCAAAGTCCCAGAGAGTGGCACAGATGGCTTAAAGAAGGGAAGATAATTCCACGTTCAACGGAACAAGGAAACGGCTCAGATAAGGAGGAGCCGGTATACCTAAAGCAGGGGAGGGTAGATAAAGTGAACG